CTCATTATTTTTGTGGCTGGTCGTGGGGGGGTTTTGTTTGTTTTTGTTTTTTTGTTTGTGTGGTTTTTTTTTTTTTGGGTGGGGGAGGTTTTTGTTGGTTTTGTTTTCAATTTTTTTTTTTAAGCGTCTCCATAGCATGTTGAGTGTTGCTCCTCCATTAGACTACAAGTGCCGCTATTTTCTGCAGGTGTTAATGCCAGTCCTCGCCACCACCCTGTGGAAGTAAATTAGCTGTAGAGCTCAGAAAGAAAGCCTCTGTGATTTGCAAGATGTCATTTATCTCCTCGCTGGGTAGGAAATCCTTGACTCTGAAAGAAGGTGCTGCCTCACACCTTCAAGTAATACGGAATAAATGCATCACTTGCCTGTTTGAGATACCGTGGTGGAAATCCAAGCAAGGATATGGTCACGATGTTAAAATGTGTAATGGGTAATAAAAAAAGGCAGCGTACTTGGCGTGTTCAGCACTGGAGCATTGCTTAGTGTTGCTTTGAATGAATACTGTGTAACATGCTACTCCTGAATCTGTGATGGTCAAACCGCAGGTGACAACAGTTAAATGACTTGAGGCAGGACACGGGTTAAGAATGTTAAAGGGAAATTACGTGACCACAGTTAATAAATTTCATTGATTCCAAAAATGAGACTGTAAGGTTAGTGGAAATAATGAAGACGCACAGCAGACAGTTTCTCTACTGAAATCTGAGCTACAATAAGATTTTCACCCTTCTGACCACAGGAATGACAGATGTTGGAAAAACATGGTTGAACATTTAGGTAAAGGATACTGAAAATCCACATCTGGTCCGCAGTCCAAACACTGCCGTCAGTAACGTGTGGGCAGTGATACTTCAGAGTGCTCTGAAAAATCTCCAGTGGAGTCTGGACATTTACAGCTTCTGGGGACAGGAGTTTCAGGTGTACAGGGAAGATCATATTTAATAAACTAATGTGAGATGTAACAGAGTGCAGTTTTCAGTACTTTACTGAAGGTTTACAGTATTCTGTTTTACGTGCCAAGGGAACCATATCTGTGCAAACTGCAGGACTCTTTATAAGCAGAGATGGGGTCAGATGTGCCCTAGCCACCTTTTTTTGTAGCAGCTGGTCTACTTCTTGTCTGCTGACTTAAAGGATTAGTACAGTGTGTATATAGCTACAAAAACCTCCACAAAACCCAAGGTATAATTTCCACTGTATTTGTGTTCTCCTCCCACCTCCCTTTATCCCCTTAGTCTTTTGCACTACTGTTATTACACCTTTCTGTTTTCTTCTTTTTTTTGTTGTGGAGATTTGGTTGTAAGAGGTCAGTTTGTATTACAGAAACATCCAATCCATTTAGTGGGAGAGGTAGGGCAGGGTTCTGTTACCCTTAGAAAACTATTAAGTAACATTGCTTTTCCATCCTATAATTTTTGTCAACTGATTGTGGACTCCAACAGTCTCATGGAAAAGAGAGCACCTGTTTTCTCTGCCATCAAAAGCTGTACAGCTCCTTTTGGGCACCTCTATCGACTTGGGCTGGCAGAATTAGGCTTTGAAACCCTGCGGAGTGGAGCAGTGGCTGGTGACAACTACTCATCAGTGCAGATCTGACGGCTAGCAGATTTCCTTGCTCTGGGTGTCCACCCGCAATCTATTTATGACTCCAGCAGATGTTTCTTCTGGTTTAGGCCAGTGGAAACCTTCTGGTCTTTATTTAAAAACCAAACTTTACAGCCTTCCCCAATTTATGCCCCTTCTTTCTCCCATCTTCTCCTCCTCCTCAGGATAAAGGAAGAAAACCTGAACCTTGTCTGCACTCTGGTAGCAGCATGTCAAAACTTCTGCTTCGTATGTTCCACGCTGTCCTCAGTAAATCAAAGGCATAGCGGTGGTGTTAATCCTGTAATGAAAAATGTGGTCTTTTCTTAATTGTCTTTCTTGTAGCAGCTCTGGCAGGCATTGTTTGCCGTGGTCTTCCAGAGAGTCTTGTGGCTCTGAGGGAGCCTCGGTTAGGTGAACAAGCCCCCTGCACAGCTCAGCCCCAAGAGACAAGGACCAGCGTTACAAAGGGACACTTATAGGGGTATTTACTGGGATCCAGCCAGCAGCAGAAATACATCAAAGGTGATCTTAAAGGAGGAATGTTTCTTTGCGGCTTTGTCTTTTTCTATTCTGAAAGGTCATTTGTGAACCGACTGTGCCAAAAAAGGCCTTTGCCCAGAAGTTTACTGTTGTTATTTTTTACTTTTTGATTACAGTAACTTGCTTATCCCCCAAACAGACTAAAGAACAATAAACAAATACAAAAGGAAAAGGAACAGCTCATCAATAACAAAGACCTGCGTTTTAAAGCTTTGAGTGTACTGACTCTCACATCTCACTCCAACCAAAGCAGGAGTCCTGCAGAGAAAGGAATCTAAAAGATATGAAAATTATAGATAGTAAAAACAATGTTTGGTAGGGATATTTTAACTTGGTGTGGAGAACTGAGCTTTCAAGTGCAGTGCACTGAGGAACATGGTTTTTCCCCCTCTGCTGTATGTTGTGGAGTGCCCAGGGAATTCTGTACTTCAGCCCCTGCAAAATACTGTAAGCTAGATGAATGCAGAGAGTCTAGATTTCACTTGAAGTTTAAATTTTGAAATTGGGCAGCTCAGAAGTATTAGATGTGCCTTAAAAAACCAAATGGTGTTCCTTTGAAATCATCAAAATAGTCTCTTACAAGAGGCAACAATACCATCCACAAGCGTAACTTATTTCTGTCTTCTTCCCTTTTTTTCTTTTTTTTTCTTTTTTTTTTTTTATTATTAAAGGAGCCTGAGTACAAAGAGACACTAACCATGGATACTGAAACTGTGCAATTTGGTGTAATTATATTCCCCCCCATAGATTTAATGAAGGACTTTTAAGTACAATTTATCTTTGATAAATAGTCCCTCTGCACAGAATGTTTATTAGATTGACAGCAGAATACACTCTGCAAGCTTTTTTTCCTTGCCACTTATGACTCAGATGAATTTTAATAGGAGTAAAAAGCTTTTATTTGCACAGTAATTTCACTTAAGGATCATATCCTTCAGAAACTGGCAGACACTTGTATGTCTTGATTGCAAAACAGACACTCAAGAGTAAAGAAACACACATAAGATGTTATTATTTGACTTGTCACACTGCTGCAATTCTGTTTGCAACTTAAGTCATCAAATCTCCTATAGGCGCCACCTCCCCTCTCCCCACAGCACACATGCACACACACTTTCTGCTTGCAGACCAGAAACCGCACGGGAAAGGAGCACGCTGCGCCGGGCGTGGGTGCTCCTGCAGGGAGAGACTAGCTGTATTTTGGGCTGGAAAACGCCAGTGCCACAGTCTTAATTGTCATGAGGATGCCTGCAGGAGGCCTGGAGTTAGAGCAGCTTTTTGCATACAAAATGGGGGTGGTTTCCCTGCGCCATATCAGTTGTCACCAAGGCACATGTTTGGGAAGGGGTTCGCAAATCTGGGTGCCACTTACAACTTCAGGGAGTATTGTTGTGGCATTTTGTTGCATCTACTGGGAGGGGGATTGGTTCATTTAAACATTTGCCTGTATTTCTGATTAGAAGCAAGGATTTCTAACTGAACGCCTGTGCACTGTTCATTGTACGTGGTCTTGTGTGTCCTAGTACCTTTTATGGAGGATGGTAATCCTCTGTTACCTATTTTTAATTTGGCTTTGAAAGCTTCTTTTTAAAGATGTCATTGCAGAATTAATCACCTTGTGCATGTATTTCTGAATACCTTGTTCTACTCTCTACAGAAGCAGAAGGTAGAGGCCCCCTTTACCTTCACCATAAGGATACTGGATTTTTTCTGTCTGTGTAAAAATGAAAAGTAGAGACATTTTACTGTTAATAAAACAATAGCTAATTGTTTTGGAGGAAAACATACTGTTCAAAGCAAGGTGTTGAACTTTACATCAGCAAAACTCACATTTGAATTGTAAATGCGGTTCATCCAATGCTTGTTATTAAAACCTTTGTTTAAATTATTGATGAAGTGTGATGCCAGTCTTCACTCGGTTGGGCTTGGTGAGGCAGGACTTTCAGGCAGAGACCTGCTGCCATCTACTGGCCTTTTGCATTGGTTTTCAAGTGCACTGGGACGAATGGGAAGGCCATCTGTCTAAGTGCCATGAATTAGCTGTCAAAGTGATTGCAAGTTTTTAAAAACTAAAAGCCCGGAGCTGAAATCAGTGTGTACACACATTCATGCTTTCAGAAAAGTTTTATTTAAATGGATGCTTTCAAGCCCTTGTGGGTCAGCATATTCTTTTCCATTTCTAATTGCTATAAAACAAATTAGAGAAAACATTTTTTTTTCTCTTAAGTTAGACAACAGCTGCTGGACAGTTTTTTTGTTACAGATGAAGTATATTCAATACAACTGCCACAATAGTTCTTCATTTCTACCTGTGCATGGAAAATTTGATTTTGAGTTCTTTAATACGTTTTAATCACAAAAATCTAAGCAAATTATCAACTTCAAACTTTAAATACATGATAAAGAGAAACACTGAAAAAGTAAACATAATATTTAAAATCAATCCTCTCTCTGAAAACCTGGCAGACTCCCCCAAAAGGTCAGTTTCCAATTCAGCACAGCACTGGAAACTATTCCTTCAATATTTCTTATCCAATAGAGATAATGTGCAGCAAGCATAAGGATATTTCTGTTTTGTAAGTTTATATCTCCCCTCTCTACCCCAATTTTTAAATGAATCTATCACTTCTTTACTCTGATTTGATTCTTTCATTTTATGTGCTCATTGCTGGAGATCAGTGTTACATATTTTTCTTTCTACATCCTGAAAATGAAACTCTGGATAAAGATTTCAAAATAGTGGTTTTTAGATACTCTTATGAAGAATAGATAACAGACACATTTCACAAAGACATGCCATAAAGTAGCGCTGATTGTTGGCTGGAATTCACCAAGGTGCAGTTTTCTAAAATGTTCCTCTTCCTATTCTTTAGTACAAATTACAAATACTGACGAAGGTTGCTGCAGAGCTGAGCAAGTACATGCCAGAGAAAGCAGCAGAGGACACCTCCAGCATATTGAGATCTCCCATGCCTGGAGCAGTGGTGGCAGTTTCTGTCAAGCCTGGGGACACGGTAAGAAATGTGATCTATATATCTGCATTTTCATTATATATTCCACACAAATTTCTCCTTGGTGCAGCTGAAACTGCAGGTCAGGGGTTTGGTTGTGTGTGGCTTTTTTTTACATCACCTGTAGAATGAAGTGTGCTGAAGGGTGTGTGCTGCTTTTCATTTGAATTATAAAATCTAATAAGGAAGCAAAATTTAAATTACACTGGTTTTAAAAGGAAAATTTGCAACTGGGTACAAGTCCACAGCTGAAAATGAACCAATGTAAGGGGGGTAAAAAAATTGTGTGTATGTTTATGTGCATGTAAATATATGTATGTGTTTGCTATTAGTACTAGCAGGAGGGGACTGTTGACTTTCTGCCCTGAAGCAATGAAAATATTAATAAACACAAGGGACACAGGATAGGCATTTATCTTTTTCTCTTCTCTTCTCTTCTCTTCTCTTCTCTTCTCTTCTCTTCTCTTCTCTTCTCTTCTCTTCTCTTCTCTTCTCTTCTCTTCTCTTCTCTTCTCTTTTCTCTTCTCCTCTCCTCTCCTCTCCTCTCCTCTCCTCTCCTCTCCTCTCCTCTCCTCTCCTCTCCTCTCCTCTCCTCTCCTCTCCTCTCCTCTCCTTTTTAAGAACCTTATCTTTTTGCAATTTTGCAAGACATATGAATTTCCTGAATTGGAAATTCCATGCTGGGAGTTCCCAGTGTCTTATGGGAATCCTCTTGTCCTGCGGAAGGAATAAATGTGACATACAGAAGGACAGCAGAACATTCTGTCCTGTGTCCAGCACTTCTTACCTCATGTTGAGCTGGAAACAAGGAGTTACATATAAATACCGACCTGAACTAGCTTTATATGAGATTCTGCTACATTATATCATATGTTACTTGTAAGGTCTGGGCCCTTATCTCTCATAACCATTGAAAGCAACAGAATGATGCAGACGCAGGACTACTTGAATCAGACTGTGCAGATTAATTTTAAAGCACTACTGTCAGTTAAATTATGCCATAAACATGTATGTGGCACTTGGATGCAAACGGAAAGCTTTAGTCACAGGGCTCATCATTCGTAGCAATGAAACCTAGGTTTTCTTGAGAGGTGATGTAGAAATGGGATCAAGATCTCAAGTCCAAAATCAGCACTGCGCTTACGGTGTCATGGTCGTCAGTCATGCTGCTGAAGCGATCTGTCTGCTGACATTTTTCTATGATGCCACTTCTGGTTTTAGAATATGTGGATATTTCTGTCTATTTAAAGAGAGAAAGGAGTCATGTTAACACTGGAGATCTATAGGTGCAAATGTTCATATTAATGAAATAAGGAGGTTTCTGAGAAAGCAGAACTAAGTACAGCTGAGTAAAAATTACAAAACCATGAAATTATTTTAGCTTCTACACTTAGCTTTCTAGTTTTGTGATTTATATATGTACACACATACTGTTTATACCTTTAAAAAGAGCAGTATTAAAATTAATCACTATGTCATTGCAGAAACAGAAATCTGTGACTTCTGATTCTTGGCAGTACGAGTGGCTGAGTGAGGGAGATCATAAGCAAATACTTTTTTTTTTTTTTTTGTGAAGAATGAAAGGAAACATTTTTAAGGCAAGGATTTTGAGCCTTTTTAAACGGAAGATATTTTTGAGAAGTTAATTCTGCTAAATGTTACCAGCATTCTTGCCCTGAAGAATAGTTCTTGTTGTATTGAAGGAATAGAAACTGTGGAGAAAGAGGACAGAGCCAAAGGGATTTTAAGTCAATAAATAAATGAACCTCCCTCCACAAATCCACAAGTGGTGCAGCGCATCAGCGCACAAGTTGTTAAATAATATGTGGAGATGTTTTTTTCTTTTCTCCTCTCCAGCAGCTTTTTGCTGGAGGCACTGAGTGGCAGAGCATTTGAACAGCATAATCTATGTTCTGCTGACCTGAGCTTGTCAATGCTAATTGTGTGCCTTTAATTGCAAAAACACATTTGCGTTATTGAAAAGGGTTTAACTTAAATCCTTCCTTTTCAGGACTAGTGTCAAAACGTTTCAAAAAAAAATGAGCCAGCAAGGAGATGAGGGTAGCATCAGCTATTGGCACAGAATAAGCAGTGGGATGGTGTGATGAAGATTACACATCTTGGCTGTCCGTCAGAAACCAGCTCACTCACTACAGCTGTTCAAGGCACGATGGGCAGGGAGCTGTGGCTCCCTGATAAATACAGCTCTTTTTGTTGCACTGCTTGGGAACAGTCTGGATTCTTCAGTGTGGTGGAGAAATGGGAATTTAAGTAGTTCCTATTCTGTGTTTGCAGCTGGGTTTGGCAGCTCAAATTTGTATGGTATGTGAAAAGTGCCCAGCTGAAAAACAGGAGAGCGTGAGGTAGTTGTCCATCCTTCCACTCAGATGTTGCTGCTGCCAGCAGTGAAGCTGCCTGGCTATTAGCTGCTCTGAGATTGTTTTCTCCTAACCTGTGATCTATGCTAAATAGTGTTAGTGCAGCACAGTCCCCCATGCTCACAGAGACACTCTCAGAGCAGTCAGTAGCACGGGGAGCTGGGCTGCTGTACCCCCTCCTTCAGGTGTAACTTAGCAAATGGTGAAGAAACTCCCAGAGAGGGACATCTTGTCTTTGTCTGAACGGCCCCAATTGCAAACTCGTGTTTATTGCCTGTGGTTGGGCTACAGGGCATCACGCCCGGGCAGGTAAAGCATATGGTGTTTGTTAGTCCCTCTCCGCGTGTCCTCGGCCAGATGAGAAGCCAGCACTGATCTCGGTGTTAGTTTTCCCCACTCGATGTGTCATTGCTTTTCCTTGGAGCACGGTGTTCTCATTTGGCTGATGTTGTTGGAAAATACTTTGGTGTGATGGAGCTCGATAGAAGATTGTATGAGCATCCTCTATCCAGCTGGTCTGATAAGCAGTTTTCAATTCGTTTTTGCCAGAAGATATTGCATATGCAAGGGATTTATTTTCTTTTGTCTGTAAGATGATCTATAGATTTTAGTAACACAGTGGGGAAGTGCTGTTTGTCATTTAGAGAGAAGCAGAACTTGTGATGCTGCCAATTTTTTTTAGCTTTTTAGTTACTTTCTACTTTATTTTCCTTCATGTGATCAGAAGACTGCAATTAGTTGTCACTCAGTTATTCCTGGAAACACAATGAAAGCACTCAGAAGCAGAAAGCAACATAAACAACAAAACAATTTGAAATCTGGCTGACTGGGAAGGAGGTTCTTATCATTTACGGAAAGAAGGTTTAAATTTAGCTTAGATGCCTCATGAGAACAGGCACATTATATAGGAAATATCCATTGGGGAGGAGGGGATGTTTGCATGTTGAATTTGGGAGTAGGTCGTTAATGAGTGTGCATGATGATGAAATTTGGGGTTGGGAGAGCTACTTTTTGGTTCCCTGTGGTGCCAAGGGCCAGAGGAATCACGGCTTCAGGATTCCGGGCGAGGGGCTCACTTTGTCTCTGCTGACCCCAGGGAAGCCCAGGCCAGCCTGGCCAGCACTCAGCCACGGGGTCATGCCAGGGTGTGGTGGGGGCACCGCACCCCGACTTACCCTCAGCACAGCCACGCCAGCACGGCACCGTGGGAGCTGCTGGAGCCCCACAGGTTCACTGCGGTACTTAGGGGGTGGGAATTGGGCACTTGCAATTATTTCTTCTTTGTCTTGAGTGGCTTGGCTTGATGTCTGCACACTGAAACTGCAGGAGCAGGGAAAGATCCAGGGGCTGAACGGGTAAAGCAGTGGTGTCATACCCATTTAAAGCAAGGCACCCAAAGTGCTCCCACAATGGATTCCAGCTTTGGTCAGAACTGTCCACAGCAACAAACGAAGATCTTACGTGTCCTGATTGCCTTGTAGCCTTTGCTGTATTGTCACCTATGAATATATTTTTTTTGCTTTTAGAGTTTTCTATCTGCCAGAAATGCAAAGGTGTTTATCTTTGAGCTGTGTGTTTCCGTTGGTTGTTTTTCTTTTTTAATTAAATTAGGCAGAACAGGTGGCATTACTAAGCCAAGCATTGGCCAATAAGCTAGCACCAGTGCTGGCAGCCTAAACCACTTTAATGATTCCCCCATCCATAAATATGTGAAAGGAAAGCACCTCTGGGTAAACATCTCAGTGCTACTGAATCTTTGTAGGACTGCAGTCAAAAGGCAGTTACTTGACCTAAGTTTCTAAACTTCCTCTCTTCTTTCCAGTAATTCAAGCTCACCCAAGGTTTTAGAAGTTATCACCATTCAAACTGCTCTTTAAATGGACTTTTTTCACATCAAAATGTCTTATGATTTCAAACTGATGCTAATGTAGCCATGGATATTGCTACTGCATGGGATGTTTTTTTTTTCTACCAAGATGTCAGCTGTTAATAACTCAGTAATTTCAAAATTGGGTAATTTGAAGGCTACTTACTTGGTTGCATGACTTACAGAACACATTACTGTCAGTGATTCCAAGTTTTAAAAAGCAACTGAGGAAAATGTTTTAAACTGCATTTGGGCTCTTTTAAACTGCATTCTTCTTCCAGTTCAGCTGAATTCACGTTATTCCAACTCCTCTTGTTATTCTTTAGAAGAAGAGTTTTAAAAAAACAAAACAAAACAAAACAAAAACTCTCCACAATTTTCCATTTCACAAGCCTTGGAAAGTTTTTGCTATGGGAAAAGATATGTTTTGCTTGACCTCTACTGCTGAAATGCTCACGATTAAAAACCCAAACAAAAGAGTTTCCTAAATTCTGTTTCTCACTACATTGTTCATTCTCATGAAAGAAAAAGGTGGTGTTATAATGTTACCTGTTGCCATCAGCCAGTTGTGTGTTTGAATCGTATTTGCCATTCAGCCCTCAAAAAAACAAACCAAACAGAAAACCTTGTAATTGGAATTTATAACAGAAATAACAAGGAAAAACAGTGACAATGTATTTGCTTAAAATAACAGGTTTACATTTTATTTATATGAATATGGTAGTAATAATTTAGTAATACATTCTTATATTCAAATA